TCGGCCCTGTATGAAAAATTATGCCGATATATCTTGCCGATAAGAGGAATACATGAACTCACATGTGCTCAGGGTGTGCTAGCGATTAGATCACGTCAGCAGTGTGGCTCATTCCTGAAGCAAAATTTTGTCTGAATGATGATTAGATTCACTGTTTGGATCGCTGCATTTAATCTGTGAAAGCACGTACAGAATGACGTGTTCGGTGTGTGATCGTGTAAACAGTAATAGCACGTGCGGTGGCAGCAGTGACAGCCTCCCCCGGGTCCTAACGCCCGCTCTGTAAGGAGTTTTAAGCTGTAGGGGGCGCTGTTGGCCTACTTCTAATTAAATTCAAAGTAAAATAGCCTACACAAATAACATTTAGACTATGTTTCTGATTAAATAAAGCAGTAACTGACGTCATAAAATAATGAGTATGTTTTGATTTAAAGGTCAGAAGCTATAGCTTACATGAAAAAAATCACAAACATGACACTTGTAAATTAAATAATTTTATATATACTGATTTATTCATTAATGTGTAATATGTTTTATTTTTTAAACAAATCATAAGCTTAAAGATTTTCAGAATTTTTACAACTCTTTTGCGTTAGACCATCTACAAATGTTAAATCTTAAAATAAAATGTTAGGGTTAACTACATCTTTCTGGGAAAAAAATGCAGCGATTGATATATAGTTTATTTATAGTTATTTTCAAAGCTTCAATGTACTGTCAAAAAAACCTTCATTATTGTTTATTTAATTCTAACAAATAAGTTCTTGTTAAAAACTAACCAAAATTAAAAATATTTTGCTTATAATTTCTGCACAGGAGAGACTTGGTGTTGTTTCCAAACAAAAGGAAATATATCAGTATCGGTATCGGTACCGGCCAAAATGAGTTGAAAAATATCGGCATATCGGATATCGGCAAAAATCCAATATCGTGCATCCCTAAAATTATTAAAACATTATAGTTGAATGAGTCAGTGTGAATGAGCCTTTACTGATCGGTTTGATGGGATACAAAAAAGGCTGGGAAACACTGATGTAGATAATTAATTTAGCTCTCTTAAAGGAATAGTGCACCCAAAGATAAAAATTCTGTCATTAATTACTTAACTTCATGTCGTTCCAAACCCTTAAGACCTTAATTAATCTTCGGAACACAAATTGACACATTTTTGAAGAAATCCGAGAGCTGTCAGACCCTGCATAGACGTTGTGGTACTCTTGTGAACGCACATCGAAGACCAACTCGACCAGAAATTGTTGAATAAAGTTATTTTTGTTTTCTTCGCGCACAAAAAGTATTCGCATGGCTTCATAAAATTACTTTTGAACCGCTGATGTCACATGGACTATTTTAACGATATCCTTAATACCTTTCTGGGCCTTAAACGTGGTAGTTCTGTTGCTGTCTATGCAGTGTCAGAAAACTCTCGGATTTCATCAAAAACATCTTAATTTGTGTTCCAAAGATGAGCGAAGGTCTGGTTTGTAATTAATGACAGAATTTTCATTTTTGGGTGAACTATCCCTTTAACATCCATTGCTATAGTGAATCTCTAATAATCATCGCAGGTACAGGTGGTTCACAGTTTTCCTACTGTGTTGCATGGTGAGAACTGCTCTGTTACATAACGTTCTTTTTCCTCGGTAACCAAAGGGAGCCGACCAATGAACATCAAGCTCCCCCCGCCCCCATATTTTTTTTCTCCAGCCCTTGCCACACTGTGTTTGAGGATAAGCCATAAAAGTGTCAGGGATCCCAGAAATACGGCCAAATTAGCCTGACACACAGTTGTCTCGTGAGTGGACGTCGTAAAATTCCAGAGAAATGGGCGTTTCGCATTCTTCACGCGGACAGCAGGAATCCTCCATCGGGAGCCTGGGAATTTTTTTTTCTTCTCTGAATAGGCACATTGTGGAAGAGCGCAGATCGTAACATGTCATTTCTCTGTTTGCTCTCCGAAGGTCTGTGCAGTCATGTTTTCTCGAAGCAGCTCCAGACCGGACACAATGCAGCAGGAAACTCTATAGAAAGGGGCCTTGACATGTTTCCTTCATCTAGCTACGAGGCCTGAGCTGCATACGGTCAGCAGAGCTTTGTTAGCATTGAAGGGGTGGCCCTAAGGGGGGAAATAAAACCCAGCCTGCTTTCACTTTCTGTGAGCGAAGGGGATCCATGTCTCTTTTTTTTTTGATAAGTGCCCAACGCTACAGTAGATTCCTCTTTCCCACCCCCATCCCGCTCACTTCACTCCTCCCCCTTTCCCCTCACTACTCTCTCTGCAGTGGAAATGAACTCCTTACTATAGATATAAGGGTGAAGATGAGGTTTACAGCGAATTTCCAAGGCTGCTTGCAAGACAGCCTCCTGGACAGCCGCCAACATTCTGCAAGTCCTCTCTAGCCAACCAGAATTCCTGTTGGGAACCACCTGACCCCAAGAAAAAAAGAGACTCACACGTTGGATTTAAAGTGCCGAGTGCAGGCGTGTATGGGTAGGTCGGCTGGCTTGTTTGTTGTTGATAGCGCAGGGGACAGTGTGCATGTCTGAGTAGACTTGCTGGAGGAGGAATATGCTGACTTCAGGTATTTCCAGGAGACTTGTTACGGACCATCTGCCCCGGGTAGCTTAAAGGAAACCCATCTCTTTAAAACCAGAGTGCCGGACCGGGCTTAAAACATTGCAAGTACAAGACAAAATTCTTTGCTTAAAATTTTTTTTTTTCTAGCCTGTATGCAATCACAGGGGGATAGCAGAGAGCTGAATGTATTTCCTGTTTTACTGCCTCTGCAGGATGTTTTGCATAGGGCATATCTTTGGCTTTGTTAACGTTTGAAAGTTTATACTAGGCTTTTAAGTGTGCCTTGATCTAATAGTGTGCATTTTGTGATTATTTATACATTAGGGTTGTAGAGACGTAGCATGTTTTAGCTCAAACTAATGCTTTTAGGCTTA